TCATCCAAACAATTGAGCGTAAAGTTAACAAATGGGATCGGTGGTGGCTTGCATTGAGCTTGTGTATGTTCCAAGAAGAAATACTCTAAGTTTATACACGTTTATATAAGACTAGTACAATGTACAACTAATCTCAATAGTAATACAAAAATAAATGGAATTGAAATAATATTAACATTTTATATAAAATCAAAAGTCAATTATTATATTGAAAATGATAACAACGTCAGACTGCATATATAACATCTGAGTTACAAGTGAAAACTTATTATAAATGACTGTAAATTAACAAGTAAAAATAGGTATACATACTCGTATATACTATTCGCTACCGCTCTTGCTTTGTACAAATCACATAGTCCGCGGGTTTTCACGCACATTCAACAATTCAAGTGATTTATTTAGGCTTTAAACTAAACTGGAACTACGCTGCCGCAGCGCGAAATTATGCTGCACTTAATATTAAAAACGCTGACAATGTTGGCAACGAATTCCCACAAACAAATGAACCATTAAGAAATTGGATCGTTAACCAGCCAGACCATAGGATAATCAAGTGTGATATATTGGTAAAGTTTCATATTGTTGATGATCATAACGTGTATTTTCATTTGCCGTTATTTGCATTCCTTACTGCATTTTCCATTTTATTTACAAACTAACCCCTATTTGTACGATGTAATAAAATTTTATTGGAAAAAGGCAGCCCATGCATACATTCATCACGCATATGATATCAAGCGACGGGGTCTATTGCTTGTTTTCATCGAATTATTATTTATGTAATAATTCCAGTTTTACTTAAATTGTATACAGTTATAATTTTTAGTTCTCACTTTTAACAAAAAAATTACTTTATAGTGTAGTAAGTTAAAATATATATGTATTTAATTCAAATGTATGTTTTAAGGGATTGCATAAATCAAGAGATGCTAGTCGGTAACCCGAGCGCAGTGCAGATTGAAATACGGGAATCACTTTTACGGATTCTCATTTCCTAGGTACATTAAGTTTTATGGAAATTTTTAAGTAAGAGATCGAGTACAGATCCACTTGAAAAGATTTTATTACATTCGCAGAAAATATTTTTCATACATTTTATATTACCTTACCTTTTACATTTCGAGGTACAGACCTAAAACTTTGGGTTCACTTTAATATTTTTGTTTGTGGGAGGTAACAGGAGGTCATATTGGACGCTGACATAGTTACCACCAATCAGACAAAGTCACGCTGCCAACCGATTCATCGAGTTCCAGTATGTTGCTTAATAAGTTAAAGGAGTTTCAAAGGGAGAGAAAAACGACGGAACCCTTGCATTTTCACTTCCCTATGTATATGCCTGGCATGAATGCCTTAGTGGAAAAACGTCTAGTTAAAACATATTCTGTGATCTGATTGAATGGATTTCTAATTTTTTTAGAGACCGTATTTTACAATGTCGTTAATAGTTATGAACATTATATTTGGCCTTAATTTTTCAGTTTACGAAAAAAGTGTTTATTCAATTTAGTCACATATAAATTATATCTTGTTATATTGTAGGGTTGCTTGTTTATGAGGAACAGCTCGAAATTTATTTACCACACTTTACCCCTAAAGGCTATAAGTTTGGAAGCCTCACAAATTTATATTAAATCTTATGCTACCAACCTATACATTTTAAATTTAAATTGTTTCATTACCAAATGTAGCCCAAAGTATTTTTTCGATGTACTAAAATTATATTTACTACTACGATTAATAAAAATTACGAATAAAATGCTTCTAAGGACTGGCATTGATACGATAGATCTATATCTCAATTAAATTATAAATCAATTCATTGAGATTTATGTTGAAAGCCATAACGTATTTTTTTTTATGAACCAAGACATAAACACAGCTTTAATTCCATAGCTTAACCATTTCATCATTGAATGTTAATTATGCTAACGAAATAATAAGATTCAGGTTCAGAAAAACCTTTTATTCAGAGAAAAACTATTTGGTTATTAGGTATAACGAGTATTTATAAAACACAAAAGGTAATTCCAATGCTCTATTTTTAAACTTTTATGACTAAAGCGACATCCAGTATTTCGTGGTACCTGATAACTCTTAAATGTTTTCTCATTTATATCACAAAATCGAAACTAACAGTTCAAACTGTGGTCAATTTACGCTGGTTTTCTGCTGGGGTCAGTAAAACACAAGTTTTAGTTTTTTTTATGCTAACTCAAAAGCCTTTGGGATGTTGTCTGAAATGAATTTTTAGGGGTGAAATGTCGGAAATAACTACGACTGCAGTGATTTGCTTTATGCGGGTTCGGTGAAATTGTGTGCGCCCATGAAATGATATTCAAATGGTTAAAAGAAATAAAAAACAAAGTTGTTTCTCATTTGTTTTAATACCTGACTCTTTTTACTTTTATATTTTGAGAGAAAATGACTTCCATTTATTTATTTTATATTTTAGACAAGTTTTGATATCATTGTGAACATAAAGCTAAGGCTCTATGTTTCTAAAGCTTTGTGTGAGACTAAAAACCAAATAGCTGGTGACTTCATGGAAATGACTTAGTGGTTGAGGTATTGAATGTATGAGGTACTTCGATCTCAGTTACAAATAAAAAGCGCTTTAATATTCTGCTCCTAAGCGAAACTTGCACCGAAAAAAAAGTTTTCCCCCTCTTTAGTAGTATTTTGGGATGTGCGTCCTCTGTTGTTTCTTATATGGTGGTACTGGAAACGGATAACAACAGAATGTAGATGGTAAGATTTTGTAGTTAGGCTCTCATCTTTTTATCCCACCAAGAATATCCATCATCTACATAGTTCTAAATTTCATTAAATTTTTAATACAAGATGCTAAATCTTCATATCCAAGTGCGTGATAGGTTATTAATAAAAGGATGTTAATAAAATATAAATGCTCCTTATTATATTTTTTTGCGGTGTACCTTTCTGACTGTACACAAACAAAAAAAAACGAGAGAAGATAGAAAGAAATAATTTTTTCTATATCACAACACTCCATATATGCCACTCAGAGCCAGAGCATATTTCCTATTGGAAGTCGACTTATGGAATCTTGTTGAAAAATTGCCCGAATTTTATATATTTCAATATTACGATTCTGTGACTTCCAATTTATAATATTTTATTCTCACTTTAAATATTTTTCAATATTTTATATCCTCCATTTTTTATAGTATATTTTTTTGTAAATACTTATTTTTATTTGTACTCCTTTATACCTACACACAATGTAAAAATAGAAACATGACTAATACTTTGTCACACTCACAATCAAAACTTTAAGTCTTTTAAAAATAAAAATTCATTTTGTAACATTTAATAACACATTTATTTACGTGAGGCTATCAATCATACTTAATATTATTCCACGGTCATAATTAAGCAAACAGAATGGCTATCAAGAAAAGAATAAAAAATAAATAAAAACTACGTACTGATAAGCTGATATTAAATTTTATTTTAAGTAAAAACATCCTGTACAGACGAAAATGTAATGTTATTAACTACGGTACACTAAAAATCGTTAAAAAGCTTGTAAACATATTTTTTCTTACTGTCGCTCTGTGTGTTTACATATCTTATGCTGTTGTAATCTCGTGTATAAATGACCATTTAACAAAACCGAGCACATGTTGCGGGTCGCTTACAATTAAAATAATCCGAGACAAGCTTAAACAAGTTGAGAGTTGGTTGAGAGTTTAACAACTTTGCATAAGACGTGACATGATATTAGAGTGTGTGGTGCAAAGGGAACGTCCTCGAGTGCACTTTATTGAAACGTCTATACTTTTAATTCCGAATGTTTTGTGTATTTTCTATAAAGTATTATTAATCTAACATAGTTAATTCTTTTAGCATATACGTACTTAGCATGTTGATTATCATTATTTAAAATAATTAATAATTAAATCTATATTTTTTTTATCAACATGAAGTTTAAAAATACTTAATAAGTCAGTTTTAGAATTTTTTCCTTCTAGTCATCTATGGTTTTCTATCAATTTTGAAATAAACCTCCCTTTATTTGTAATGACGTTCTGATTAAATCTGCAAAGTTGCTTTTGAGTTGTACAACTTTGCGGTATTCGCAACATACATGACGAGACCACTATAAGTTGATCCGCTTGCTTTCTCAAGAGTGGAACAAAGTACGAATAAAACGGAGTATATGACCATTCAGAGGGCTCAAATGATTGGTCGTTTTAAAATCTCGTGGAATACAAACGATCCCACTTAAAAGTTTGATGCGTTCCGAATAAATTCCATTAACGTTTTATGATTTTACATTACGAACAGTTGTTTGGTGTGAATTTTTTTGAATCTTGAAATTAATAATTTAAAATTGCTTAAATAAAAAAACAAGCAAATTCATTTATATTTATGAATTAAGAGATTCATTGTTAACCTTTTTGTTTCAAACAAATTGTTTTAATCATACGAATTTGGTAATACCGATATAAGTAAACAAATACATAAATACAATTTCAATGAAGACTTCCAAAGGCTAGGAAAATATATTGTATAAACTTATGTATTAAGTCTAGAACTTGTTCTAAAGTTCTAACTTAATCCGGAGGTCGGTGTGAACAACACAGCTGGTCTCTTATTTATTTTTATTTCAACATAAAACTTGTTACACCGAAACGCTTTCGGCAGTCCTGAGATGTTCCGGGAACTTTGCGGGACTCGTGTTTTTACACGTGTTATATGAACTCAAATATATATCGACTAACTAGGTTTTTTTTGTAGTAGAAATATACATATATTTTAATCATGATAGAACGAAATAACTATTAAAAAATAAACATTTTATTTGTAATATACGAGAAATGTCTTTCACATGATAGCAATGTTTATGACTCTGTTACAATTGGACAAAAGTGTTGGTTCATTGTTTGAGAGTATTTAGATAACAAACAATTGTTGGCCTCAGAGGAAAAAGTGGAAAAAGAACAGTCGTTTGTATATTTCACAACGGGATGGACGCAAATAGGTTGTCCATTTTCCTTCTGGTTCTTACCATAGCTATTACTGTAAGTTGTTTAGATCGGTTTTTATGCTTGTAGTTAGGTAAGAAAACTTCTAATCGTTCACCCACGCTTTACATATTTAAAGTAGCGAAAGCCTGGCATCGATAAGTAGTAAAAAGGGGATTTTATATTTTATGAATAAAAAAGTACTTGTATCTTAATTATTATTATATATATTTTTTAGTAATTGATTACTGCTGATGTTAACGGGATTAAAATTAATATTATTAATTATAATTGTTGGGGCAATTTATTTTAATCAAATAAACTCAAATGCAGGAAAAGATATTTAAAAAATCAATAATATGATTTCAACGAATATATTTAACAGATAATATTATTATTATTATTATAGTTAATTATTATTATAGTAAATACTTAGAAAAGTTTACAAAAAAGTGTATTTCTTCATTTATTTCAGCAAGCTTGGCAATATGTTGATAGAAGACCCAGAAAAGACCTCCAAAGAGATCCGCACTATGTCGCCAAAAGGCACATGTTGCCTCGAAGTGACAAAAAACGCCGACCTTCGACCCAGATACCGAAAGAAATGAGGAAGAAGGTACAATTTATGATACATTACATGAATAATCCTATATCATTTGACAACGATGACCATTAGAGACACTTTTCCTCTTTGTAAAGTGTCCATGTCATTTCAATGAATATAAAAGTAAAATAAACCACTGCTATATTTTGATTGATAATTTTCAGCCATCAGGTCATCTCAAGCCGTTACAATATGATGAAATGGAAAATGACGAGATCGTGTCTGTAGCAATAGGTCCGCCTGCAATGAGACCAAAATATGATAAAACACGGCGGAATATGTCAAAAACATATCCCTCTCCAGCAAATGAATCCACTGCGTCTAATCTAATCAAAGACGTATTAGTTGAATTGGGTAGAGAATTTATCACACACAACATTAACGAAGACTTCGTTTTCGGACAATATGTGGGTAACGTCATGAAGAATCTAACTAGTACACTAAAAGTGAAAATGCAGCACGAAATTCTAGATTTAATTTTGAAATATCAAAGGATAAGTCGAGGGGAGGATACGAAAGTTTTGAATGAAAATACAAAAACCGAAGACAAGACTGTCAAAGATATTAAGTTGGACAAGAAACCAGCTGTCAATGAAACAGAAGACGGGTGGCCAGACTTTTCAAATATTGAAAAATATGTTGGCTGATTGCTTTTATTTATTTATTATAATATTGTTAACAGTATACTCGTACTTAAGTTTTTATGTTGATTTAAATAATTTTATTTTTCTTAGATTATATTTGTTTTATTTTTATCGAAAAATATTTTTAATGAGAAATTGTAAGTAACAAATTAAGAGATCTATTAATAAGATCTCTTCCAAATTATTTTCTTGGAAATTATATTTAGCACGTTTTTTTTAATTTTTGTGTTTTTTAATCAAAATAATAATTATGACTATATTGAAACTTCTTCTACCTGGCATCTTTCCAGCTTTAGCCAGGGTCTGTCTTTACAAATAGTTTAAGCTAATTGTTTTTACGACCGGCCGCCTGCCTGATATCAATCCTCTTTGGAAATGAATTAATCAGTGATGTCTAAATACTCTTAGAAAGTACATATGACTCGGAAAAATCACATTGATACTTGCTAGGTTCGAACCCGCGTCCTCATGGATGAGAGGGCGGGCCTTTTAACCACTAGGCCACCACTGACTTCTAAACTCCATATATTCTGACTAAATTGAATAAAAACTTATAAATATGTTCTAGTCGATGTTAAATTCACAATAATTCTTCCGAAACGATAAAACTTGGATTCATCTCATATATAACATCTTAGATTTAAAGGTCATTTTATGATTCTGAAGCTTTTGCTTTCATTTCATACAAATATTTTAATAAAGATCTAAAACGTGACGAATGCAAGTAATTTTTTGTATTTTATGTAGTGATAATAATAATAATGTTGAATATAATGCATGTATGTTATTTTATATTCAAAAAAAAATAAATTTAATGTCTCTCTTTTTAAATGTGAAATGTTAGCTTTGCACTTTGTTTCATCCTTTCTACTTATCCGATCTTAAAAGCGGAATGTACGGATTCAAGTTTGCTTTGAGTCAAATAGACAATGGAAGAAATTCTTAAATTGTTAACAAACTTAAACCGACCTACATTTTTGTAGGATAGTTTCTGAATATTTTTAAACTTCTCTTTCTTTCTTATCACTTTAAAAAGATTGTTCTGTATTGAATTGATTTAAAACAGAAAATTGGTCAAGTATTATATATTTATCATTACAAGATTAGGTAAACAATTGATTAGTTGAATGTTAATGAGATTTGTTTTACTATTTTCTTTTAAAATTATTTTTTTTATATTATACTATGGGACCCGTTTCGATGTCTAATCAAACATCTTGTCTGTAATGAGCAATTTCAAAGCTTTATGAGCAATTCGTTCAAGATAATAGCCATAATTATGTATCTTGTATTAAGGGTTGGCTAAATTTACCTTGTATATGTAAAGGTGTGAATATGTATGTGTGTACAGATATAACTACTGTTCAAGATGTTTTTATTTTCTTGTGTGTTCAATGTATAAGAAACCACAGTCACAATCAAGCCGCCAGCAACATGCGGGTGAATGTAACTTTAGCTGTATATATTTAAGTCTTCGAAATACTACACCGAACAGTCAATGACTTTCCGAGAGAAAGAAATGAAAATTTTATTGCGCCAATATGAGATTTCTAATTAGAAACCAAAAATTTGTAATATATATTCTCCTTGATATGGAATCTCGAAGAATGTTGCAGTAATAAACCGCATAAATGAGGTATACACATAAATGAGGTATATAGAAAAAAAAATTACACCAATTTAATGATAAGAAAATCAAGAGTATTCTTATAATAAAAACTTTTACGAATAAAAGAAACATATTTGTCAGTAAAAAATAAACTACAAATTGGTCTGAATCGAGTGGAACCTTTTGCGGTCATAATTGAAAGTTGCAATAAAGTTGCCCCTAAAAGCAAATAGTAATAAAAATAAAAGTTACAGTTTACGAGAATAGCTTTTTATGTAAAAAGAAAATGTACTGTTAGTTTTTTACATTTAAGAGGAAACATAAAACACGTGTCATCAAAATCTTTTTGTTTTCTACAAGCTTATATAGATGGTTTCACAAGTAAGGCAAAGATAAAAAGAAAAAATTTGAACAGAAATCGCTATCAAACAAGCCACACCTTATTCCAAGCAAGATATCTTAGTGATGTACTCTCAGTAAATTAATTTCTTCCGCTCCAAGACCTTTCTACCTCAACAAACACTGTTAATTATTATTGGAGTTGTTCCACTAGATCAATACTCCTTGACAGTAATAACTTTTTCCTTAAAAAAATAATGGTTTTTTTATGACTGCTATCCTCCTTTTGATAAGATAATTCAGATTTTCTCAAACAATAGTTCCCTGAAAATATTTTGAGCAATAATAATTTTTTAAAGTTTTCGCTTTTTTCTTTAATCTTTCCCAAATTTTAAAATCATCGAATTTCTTTTCTGTCTGTAGTTGTAGGTACTTTATAAACAAATAGATTTTATGACTTACTAATAAACAGTTTTACAAGGAGCTTATTAAATATAGGATTAACAAACAAAAAAACTTAAATAATATATCATAGACATAATGCTTAAAATAAAAACTACAGATTTATTATTATGAGTGCTTAGTTAAAGTTTAACATTATTTTCCATAGATTAAAAAAATAAGTCTGTGTTTTTAAAAAAAAATTAAACTGAAACAAAAATGAGGTGAAAAATAATCAAAATTGCGCTTGCAAATATTCTATTTACATATACTTTTTAATTTCAGTTAGCGGATTGTTTAAATGCATACAAAAAACTGCAAATATACCATTCAAATATTTATTTCCGTGTTTATCATGTTATAATTGAAAACTGTAACAAATATTTGAATAGTGACGAAACAAAAATAAAATATGAAGCGAACTTTAATATTTTGATGTATATTTTGTATCTCAAGGAAAATATACGATCAGATCTAGTAAAATCCTTTGACTCTCAACAAAGGAATAATATAAATATACAACAACACCTCACGAACAATATACACCTATGAAGGCTTCTAGCTTCGTCTTGCAACAAAGATTTCCTTCGAGCTATAGGATATATAAAGAGAATTCAGTGTTTTGATACATAAAACAAGAATCTATATGATTGTAACAAAATAATAGTTAGTATCTGAAAAGAAATAAAACTATTTTACATATTTTCGAATAAATATTTTTCATTTATCATATTGCTTCAAAATTGAAATCTTATCTCCATTATGAAATTACTTAGTAAGCAAAGGTACCGGTATAAGCTGACAATTTAATAATGTTATAGATTAAAAAAGATAAAAATAATACTGACCATAAGCGTAGTAAAACCTCTCTTAGCTTTTATTTACATTTATCAATATCATACTTTTTTATTTCATTTCACTATAAAGTCTTCTGTGAAACACATTTTTTTAAACAAAACAAAAATTGCATTTTGGTTCTACGTTTAAAAGAATTCCATAAATATTTTTGACTTTAAAGAATTTATTATTTAGTAATATTTTCAAAATATTTACAGCATAAAATAGTAACAAAATATGTCTAAGCAAATTTATACCGTATTACAAAGACAAATAAATTAAAAATGAAAATAATTTTATCATTCGGCAATCTAAACTTAATTTTACTGAGACATCTGTTCTGGAAATCGTTTTTAATTTAAATGACAAAGATGACATATGTCAGAACTCAGATTAGACTGAACATAGTTAACAAACATGAATAGAACATCATTAAATGAGAACTAAATCAATTTCAGTAACAATACACCATCAATATTGGCACTTCCCTCGAGCAATATGTCGGGTCTTGTGTCGTGGCCGTAACAGAAAACGATGACATGTTACGTCATTCTGTATGGAGAACAAATATATCTAATCACAAAGTAAATACACCCAAGTAAAAATGAAGAATACTTTTATGGTAAACACAGAACACATTTCAATAAGAAAGTTGGCTGAAACCAATATGGCTAGAAATTGTATAATATTGTTACTAAACAACAATTACTATATAAAACTTATTATTTCGGAGACGAAATATACATACTTACGCTTATAGCCACAAAAACCAAGTTTGATAAATTAAAGAAAATATTTCTGAATTTATTATTATTCTTTTATTAATCAAGAAAATACGTACATTTATTAGTAAAATTTTCAGGAAAACTTATTATTATATCAGTTTGAATAGTATAACATTACTGTTATATTTAAAAAATAATATAGTATAAGTATATTATTCAAAAGTAAAAGGAGCATAACATTTAAAAATGTCCATGACGACTGCAGTCTAGTTTATTGCAGCCCGTAAAGTGGAGTAAACAAAGGCTAAGACAAAGAGCATCGCAATATCGGGACTCTTTCCTGTTGAAACAACCAGCTTCATCAATTTCACGAGACTTGTTGTATTGCACGTTTCCGAAAATAGACTTGTTACTTTTGTGTCCGTATTTTTTATTTTTTGGCAACTGGAATATATATATTAACTACTTCATGCTGATATCAGGAACACGAATATTTGATGTCAGCATAGAAATGCAAAGGATATTTTTGCCTGCTTCAATATAACATCAATATTGTAACATACATATAATCAACACAAAGCTGAATTAAGAGTCATTTTGTTAACAAACTTCTAGCGTGCTCGTAAACATTGAACACAATGAAATTCGCCACCAGTATACTGGATCGATTTATAAACTTATTTTATATTTGGAAAGCAGAGAACAAAGCATAGCCTCATATATGACATAAATTTTACCTGTTCTCATATGAATATTAATTATAATATTATTTTTTGTAAGAATTCAAATAAAAGTAAATCTATATCCCTACATGTTACTTCAAACAAACGTGTTGAAATAAAACAGTTCCGTAATAAAATACGAAACAAATGTAAGGAAAATTCTAGGTTTTGGATACACGATAGAGTTGTCGAATGCAGCCGCTAAGACTTGTGCATTCGTGCTTGAGGTAAATAACCCTCGGGGAAAACGTTACAATATATATTCTACATAAATTTGAAAAACAATTTATAATTATATTAAGCCTTTATACTAACGAATTAATATGTATC